TCAAGAGAAGCCATCGAAGACCGCCTTTGACCTTTCAAGATGTAATGATTATTGTACAGATAAAGATGGTATGTAAAATATAAAAGGGAAATAGAGAATTTCCCAAAAAGAAACAGACAAGAATACCACCTTACTACATACTACAAATTACATTTCCGGATATAATACACAAGCTTTTCGTCGCTAAACATTTAGATTTACTTAAAATACATCCCAATTTGGTTGTTGTTAATTTCCATGTGACAACAGTAATGCCAGAGCGTAAGCTCTCAACAGGAGAATAAAGGCTACATTCGGGCCACACCGTTGCCAACGGCCCAAATTAAAACACATAGACCAAACCAACATAAACACTATGATCGCGCAACAAAGAAAAACAGAGAAAAAAACAACAATAAGCAAACACGGAGCCCTTCCCCAACGAACTGAACAAAGCTCAATCAGCAGTGAACGACCGACAAAAGAGAGTCTCGAGCCCGAGCACCGCAACCGAAACTACACGAACGCCAATACAACAGGTGCTCTCTACCCCCGAGACAATCCCGAATCGACCCATCTCTAACCGAGAGAGCCCCAACCAGTACCTACGCCAGCCCCACCGAACTTATCTACCGCCACTAGCCAAGCTCGATAGGACCCAATCCCCGGCCGCTTAACACCACTAGGGCCCTCAACCCCAACAACCGCACCATATCAGCACAGCAATCGGGACCCCGCTTCACACATCGGCTCCCGCAACCCCCAACGCCACCACCATTTGCCAAGGACGAACATCACCGAACAGGAGAAAAATCCCGTGGGAGAACCCAACCCATCAGTCACAAGGAAAGGACCCAAGAAGGTGCAAACCACCACGAACCAGAGCACTGCCGACAATCGAAAAACCTCCTCCAATCATCAGTCGATGCTGGCCGGGCTTTTTTTTTTATTTTATTTTTCTTAATTTTCAATATTTAAATATTTATTTATTTGCGGACTAAAATAAATAAAACTATAGAAAAAATATTATTTTATTAAATTTTATTTTAAAGTTTACATGTTTTATTTAGTTCTAAAATATCTATTATTTATTGTCTACTAAATTAATATTTTTATTATATTTTTTGTATTAAATTGAATGTAATAAATGAATTTTCTTAATAAAGTTTAATTTAATTTAATTTTATTTAGTTTATAAAAAAATTGTTTTAATTTATTTTATTTTTTAAAACAAATAATTTTTAATTTCATTAGAATTTATTGGCTTTGATTGTCATTTATCGTTTATTTTAGTATTTAATTATTTTTTTATTTTTAAATAAAAAAATTATGTTTACTATCATATTAGTTTAATTTATTTCATTTTTTATTTATTTTAGTTTATTTATAGTTATTCTATTTTATTGCATCTGTTATACTATATTATATTTTATTATTATTTTTTATTTATTTACATCATTTTTATTTTATTTATTTAAATGAATTATTTTTTATTATTATTTTCATTTATTTACATAATTTTTATTTTATTTATTTAAATGAATCATTTTATTACTTTTTATTTTATGTTTTATGATAAATTGTTCTTTTCAAAATTATAAATATGTAGATGCGTAGTTTAGTGGTGAAATGGTTATGGTAAATTTTGTCCACCACTAGTTCAAACTCCACTTTAGCTTAACATTTTGATTTCAATGAAACTCGTGTAAAAATATAAATTACTAATAGTATAAATTTAATTTTACAATAAAACTCATAAAGGTAAAAAAGTAAATTACTAAATCTACAAAATAAAAATTGTATAATTTTCACTGCAGTAGAAGTAGCAGTGTCAAACGGGCCGGGCCGGGCCGGGCCGGCCCGGCCCGTTCCAGTCCGCTTTGGCCCGCTCTTCAAACTGGGCGGGCCAAAATGATCCGTATTTCTACGGCTGGGAAATCCATGGCCCGTGGTCCGCCCTCATTACCCTGCGGGCTGTCCGCCCGTGGGTTTTTTGTTATTATGCACTCTTATATATACTTTTTGCTTTGTTTATACTTATATTTACTAGTATATTTATAAACTAGAAGGTTTCATGTGTAATGATGTTAAATATTTATCATCCAGTTTTTATTTTTATTTTTTTTTATGAATAGTTATAGGGTATTCACGTGGAGGAGAGCCTTCATTCACATAAAATATTATTTGATTCATTAATATTTTTATTACGTAAAAAAGTGTTTCATGTGTATTCACAAATCTTAATATCACTAGTATAACACTCGTGTATTACACGGGTGCTTGCTATTTTTTTTTTTAAATCTAAAATTAATGAGAAAAAGTAATTTGAAAATTTAAATACCTTTTATAAGAATATATTTATATTATTATATATTTATTATGACACTTTTTATTTGTGCGACTTACCTATGTTATATTATACTAATTTTTTTAACTTACAATATATAACTACATTAAATATAAATATAACAATTAAGAAATAATTTAAATTTTCTAATGAATTTTAATAAATATTATTATTTTTTATTTTTATAAAGATAAATATAATTTATTTATTTCATAGATACAATATGGATGTCAAATCGAAGATCATCAAAAGATGATTAATTTGATATATTATATATGTAAAACCGATAAGAAATACAAAAGTTATCAACTTTTAAAATACATTTATAATTCAATAACTTATTGAATAAAACAAATCAAAATTCAGGGATATTTTAGTAATTTAGTGACTCACTACATAAAATTGAAGGAAACAAATCAAAACTCAAAAGTAAGGGATATATTAGTCACTTACCTCAATAGGTAAAATTACAAAGAAATAAAGGGTTATATTAGTACAAGTGATATTAAAATACCTAAGTTAGCTAAATAATATTTATGGAATACCCGAACCTAGATTATTAATTATTAATATATCAATATTATTTGTCCAAGCCTAATTACGAAGCATGATTCTTCGCCAAGTAGGATTCCGACGCACCAGAAACAGCCACGTAGGCTCAGCGCATTCGGAATTATATATAGGGAGGATTGTCAAATTTTAAAAAATATAAAATAAATA